ACAAGTCCTCATTCGATCATACACTTAGAGGAGCCCTTTGCCCTTCATTATCTCCCCTCTCCAGCCAACAAGACGATGGAAATTTGCAGGTGTATGGTAGCTAGGAAAAATTGCAGAAACCACTGGGTGCGAGGCTCTTCTAATACCGACATTAGGACTAGATCCGAAGACATAGTGACCCTTCCGAAGCGTTCGGAGAGGCCGGCTAGCTGGGCGCTGCAGACTTGTGTGTACCTCGGGAAATTTACTCCCTGCCTTTCTAGCCTCCTTCCAACTCCATCCCGAAGGTCGTGCTGAAATGTCAGAAAAGTCTTGACAGAGCGTGATTGCTATGTGGTAGCTTAGCCCAACTTTTTATGTACCGTCCAGGGCGATGGGGAGTGCCGTTGACTTATCGACAAATGAAGCCCTCCTGGCTAATTAGCCGAAATCTCGGTCTTGGCCCCCCCAAAAAATCCAAAGTTGAAAACTCCTCGAAGATGTCGGTCCCAGCATGGTCTTCAGAGACCTGTTTCCCCTCTCGCTTCACATCTCAGCCGCCTATTCTCCCTTAAGTTGTTTGTCCCATTAGAGCAACAGTCCCCCATAAGCCATGACCCAGGCTTTGTATTTTTTGACTTGATTTCCTCCCTGCTGGTATAAATAGCGTCGTAAATATGTAGTGAGAGATGGCTGGAATATATGAGGCAAGCTCCTGTATGCAATTGGAGCAACTTCCTTTTTGGTTGTCGAGGCGAGATGATGCGTGTGTAGAAAGAGGTTGAGGACTCAGATAAGAATGATAAGAAAGGCATTGCCGAGAAGTCGTCAAATGGAAATATGGGTGAGATTGCTTTCGAATTTGATTCGGATACGATTCTTCTTGGCTATCCTAGATATGCAGAGCATACTGAGCGATTACACCGGCACCACTGGAAGGTGAAGAATTCGTCTTTGCCGGCACGGATGAGGGTTGAATTGGGGCAAAGAAAAAGCTATCATAACTTCGCGGTGGTGCTTGCGAATGAAATCTGAAGCATTAGTGCTCTAGTTTTAAAGTGAGTCAGCTGTTGTAAACTTTTTCTCCGATGTTGTGTCATAGATAGTTGCATTCGTAATTGAAATTGATATCTGATGCAAAAAATAATTTCACGGAAAATCCAGAGCCGTGATTCAGTCACAACATAGGGTGTATACGAGTGTTACATTGGGATGTTGATCGAGAGGAGTGGTGTTGACAAGTTTTCGGTCGAAAATTGACCTGCAGAGATTTGAAGAGCGTACAGCCCGACGAATTCAATCATCTACATCCCAGATATAAATCGTCAACAGGATAAAACCTGTCTGATGGTCGTATTAAAACAGCTGACGACCTTCACTTAATCAAATTATCCTGGAAGATCTATTCCATCTTAACTCTTCTCGCGACCCTTTCCACAATTTTTTCACTACTCACCGAAGCACTGTTAAATCCAAAAGCCATATTTGCCAACCAAGATTCAAGAGGAGATACTTCTTCTTACAACTATCGTTCGCTGTGAAGGTACGATCGAAGTACCGGCCTCATATTCGCCCAACCTCGGCCAAGGGCACCAGCAACTCGAGCTATGACAAATTGCCACCGAAGAAGTGCTTAGGACATTTTGCTGGCACTTCAACTAGAGTATTTGACAAAGACTGAGGTATCGGTGCCTCGGTCTTGAGCTTTTTGAACCATGTTGGGCCTCCACAGTTAGAGTCGCAGCAGCGACGAGGCATGGCCGGAGGAGCGGAAAGTCTACAAAGTTTCTGAGATCGCAATAACGACATAAGGGTTGAGGAGAGGATATAATGGAGGAAGAAAAGGGACCTAAAGCTGAGGAGACCTCTGTAGGCAACAGGATGAGGTCTCCGATCAATATTACGACCCCTGGATTAGATGAGAAGATTCCGAGACAATTCATGGCTTGAACTGATTGGAAAGAAAAAATTGACATTGGGCCGGTTTCAAGGGTTCCGGTGAGTGGTGGACGAGGCCGAGGATGAATTTCTGCTTCAGCGTATGGAAATCGGGTTCTCTGGGTAGCTGGAGTTGACATGTTCAACACATAGGTAAAGTCTGATGTGGTCCAGCCATTCAGGAGGAACGAGGTCCATTTACTTAGATGGTAGTTAACCTCATCCAGCCCGGCGTCACTCGTGCTCGAGTTCCCACAGGAGTACGGAGGGTGACAATTGACAAGCACGTTATTAGACAAACAAAAAGCCCAAGGCAAACTTTCCCATGCAGCCTGTCCGTAGCGCCATATATTTGCTTGACTGCGACGAGATATCCACAACGGTCCCTCTGCCTTTGCATCCTACTGTAGCCGCTGTTTGCGTCCAACACTGCCCACGCGTCTGACTTGTAAGTGGAATTAACATGTCATGTGACGGAGTGCGGGGGTCGGGGAAAGATCGAAGACCACCGACAAGGTTTGATGAGCTAGCCTACAGGCGAAGATGGAAACAATTTTTTGACAAGCAGATTTTGATCATCGAACACTCAATTCATAGCTCGTCCAAGCAATCTTGGCTCCAAAACGCCTGACCTCACACTTTCGCTCAACCATGGAGTTTCAAGCCAAGTCTCGACTACAAAACTCTTTCTTTACATTCCAACATTCCGGGATATAATTCCGCATTCTGACCGCAGTCCATCAAATACACATTACACACCGCTCTTTATCAATGAGCCTTCTTAGCTAAAGTGAAGCATCCGCTCCGACGCTGTGTGGTTAATTTCTCACCGAGGTTAAATGGCTCATATTATTGAAAACACAGAAACTGAGATCGTTTGCTATACAGCACAGGGCCAAGTGCCGAAGTGGAGATGGTTTGAGAGCCGGCAGGATTTTGTGGCGGGTATAGGCAAATAATCTTGCAAGTTGGGGTTTCCTAGTTTAAATCCTGGGATAGGATACGCTACTCATGGATCCTCTTCTAATTCTTAATGGGCATCTTAGCAGAGCTAACCTTTAGCTATGTTTCGGCTATACTGGCTTTGACATAGAGACGCTTAGATCTTAACGGCGAAAGCGCAGCGAGATGTTAAAAATGAAGAAGTTATCTGGATGTTGTTATTATATCTATTTATGGACTAATGGGACAATTCTCATATTGATATTTGATCTGCAGGCTGAGTACGCACTAAGAGCAAATCCCTAAAACTCGCTAGTCAAATTGCATTCATGGGCAGCATCTTGTATTGAGCATGCCTTATTACGACAGCTAGAGACAGCCACTGCTTCTAATCCTCATGACTTTACTCCTTCAGCAATTCAAGAATAACTCTAATACTTTTCTGATTATCTTATCTTAGCCTATAGATATCAACAACCTTGATTAGAATACACATCTTGATCGCTTCGTTTCATTTAGCTGCACGTGAGTTGCTTGCGACTCACGTGCACTCCCAAATTCCTTGGCGGCAAAGTGGATGTCTCACTGCAGCCCCAAAATACACCATTTGGAGGTGAAATTTCAAGCTACTTGTAAAATAAATTTAAAAGTCCCTGACATGGTGAAATTTGCTACACCTCGATTGGTTATTAGCGTGGCGGACAGCTGGTCGAGCTACTGATAGAATATGGGGACTGGGCCGAAGCGCAATTTTGAATTCTATCAAGTCACCTCGTAATGCGGTTCCAACCCTTCAAAATGACTACATATAAACAAGAAAGTTAGAACTTTGCTGGTTAGCTGCAGATACAGATGCTGATGCTGGTGCTGTTTATGTAATGGTAATGACCAACTGTAATAATTCTTGAAGCACACCGTCACTACCTGATCACCAAAACTCGCAACACTGACCGACACTGTTGGTACGCATCAGTCGGGGGGTGTGTACTATTGTACGATATTAAAACAGAAAATTAGTAATTACATTCCTCCTATTATTCTTAGTACACTGTGATTCGTACAATTACATGATTACTTAACTAATGACACAATATACCCTTGTACCTGGAGTATTTCTGCCAGCAACTATCTAACACATTGGTCATCCAGCCCAGACGCCATCGTTGCAACAGACACAAGTTAGCCTGAGCTCGCGGGCCTGTCTATCGAGAGATTGCAAGTGAATACGCTGGTACCCAAGAACTGTGGGTGTGGATGTGCCATTTGAATGGGCCCAACAGCTAAATAATCATAGTAATATTTTCTCTCATTCTTTTAAGGTAGAGGTAGGAAAAAGATGCAGCCCCAATCGTGCCATAGTGTGGGCTAGACCACCAAGTATCAGGAGGCATATTCGATGAGCGAGTCATCCATGCAGAAGAATAGAAGTTGCGGGCTATTCATTCAAATCTGATCCAGGCCCAAGTTTGCCTGAATGAGGGTAATTAAGTCCACTAACAGAGCAAGTGGATTCTGTGCACTGGAATTATTTCAGCTCTCTCTTTCCAAAATGCTAATTCCTAATTTTAGGTCACGAGTAGCTTTCTAAAATTCTCTCAAGTCACCTGTGCTTTTTCCAAGTGTCGCTTTTGCAATTGAAGCCATCGTAACACTTCGCCGGAACGGATCTCCGAGGATTACGGGGGACCCAGCACCGGTGGTAGGAGTCTTTAACTGAGTCTTGGCTTAGATGATTCTTTGTAAAAGGCCAGAAGTGCGTGGGCAGCGTGGATGTCTGCTGCTGAGTCTTCATTTCCCAGGCCGAGTCGAAGATTCCGGGATGAGGGAAGAAGCATGTCTCATCAATGATCGATGTGCGGTGTTGGCGCCTTAGTAATGCCGAGCTCCATCACTTGAGATTGCGAATTAAACAGAAAGAGCGGGAAAAAGACGCAGACCAGATAATCGAGGCCATTCCATCTCCACTGCCAGAACTCTGGATCCGCCGGCCGAAATAAGACATTGTGGCCTAGATATAAATCAACATGCTCCCTCCTTGCTATCGCCTGCACCTTCGCATCATCTTACCTATCCCGCTCCCTTGGTCACTTTTAACTCCAATTTCATCAGTCTCTTAGGGAAACTACAAGGTAACACTCACTATGAAGTTCCTCTCTGTAAGCGGCGTGGCTTTTATCCTTAGTCTCTCTGGCTCGGTCATGCCAATGGCCGGAAACAGTGACTCACAATATCTCCCGGTACCTGATCCAGCATACAGCTTCAGCTTTACGTGTGGTGGGCAACGGACGTACACTAAGGACACCCTTGATAGATATGTTGATAAAGCGCTTGGCAGAATGAATTCAGGTGGAACCGTCTATACAACCCAGGCGTTCCAATTTACTCGCCCAGGACCATACTATATAACTTACATCCATCCTGATAGAGATGTCTACAGAACTCGTTAGATATTTCTCGGCCTATTTTACAGGAATTAGCCATTCACTAACCTTCTTGATAGAATTTAACAGAGAGGAACACGTCATATTTGATAGAGAAGGGTTTATTATGGGAGGAATGACATACGAAGCAGTTAACAGCGTGCCAAAATATGTGGCCTGTCGATTTTCTAGTTCAACTAGATTCATGTAGTAGAAGCGCCATTCTTCCAACAATCATGCAGTATGGCCCGAACATCTTGACCGACAGCATTGTCTCAAATCATTGATGTTGGTTTTAGGGATACAAATTCACGAGTAGGTTTGGGACAGCCGAGTATGGTCTTTGAAAAATCCAGATTTGCAAGCAGGTGGTATATATGGAGATAGGAGGGTTTGCAGTAGTTATGAGAGTGTAATATTGGTCAATTTTATCAAGCTACAGCGACATGGATCCCTCGTCTATTTGTTTCTTGTGCTACCCTTCAGATCACATGACTACACCATTTATTGCACTCCGTGCGAAATGTGATCTCAGGCTTCACACTCCCAATTGGAGTAGCTTCCAAGGATACTCAAGCTTTACCAGAATACACCGATAGAAGATGGACCACTACACTTTCTATCGTTGCATTTTTTCGATAGTATCATCTGCACTATCGCAAATGAATGAATGAAAGTTTATTCGTGACGGGCACAAGCCCTGCACTCAAGGAGCATGACACAGAGAAGACTAGCTTCCCCGACGACTATATACGGCGTTAACTCAGTTTGAGACTTAGACTACTCATATAGTAGGTGCATTCGTTGACACCACTCGAGACTTTGGTGCTAGGGACTTTCACCCTTCCCTCAACCGTTAACATCCACCAAGGGGAAAACAGGTAAAACCTTTGGCTACCTTAACATACCTTTGTCATCGTGTATATAGCCACCGCGCGAGATATGGCCTCACAGCCCTCCCTTTCTCGAGTGAGGTGGATGTGCAGGCTACCCAGACTTTAATTCGGGGAGATGACGACCAGAAGGCGGACCAAAACACCTTCCATCGTTGCCTATTTTTAGAGTGTCGGTTTCACTATCCGAAATCGTTGCCTCTGCGCCCATAGACACTTGTAAGTCGAAAACATTCGACAAATGTGCGTCCCAGCATGACCATTTGTGACCTCTTCACTCGTTCGTCCCACGTCCCAGCTGCCTGTCCTTCCTCAAGCTGTGAAGCCTCATTAGAGCAACAGCCCCCCATATACCAAGACCCGAGCTTTGTAGATTATGACTTAATTTCCTTATCGCGGGTTAAAATAGTATCGTAATTTTGTAGTGAGAAATGGCCGATTTTTGATGAGGCAAATGCCCAATCGCAATTGGAGTAAGGCCATTGTCTTTGTTTGAGGCGAGGTTGTGTAGCAAGATTGAGGTAAGGAACTCGTGTGAGAATGATAGGTCAAACATTAATCGAGAAGTCGTCGATTTTTGATATGCTTGTGGTTGCTTTCGACTTCGATTCAGATGCGATTCTTCTTGGCTATCCCAGATATGCAGAGCATACTAAGCGATTACACCGGCACCACTTGAAGGTGAAGAATTCGTCTTTGTCGGCATATCACAAATGAAGTCGTATAGCATATAGTGCTCAACTTGAAAACTCCTTTCCAAAATTTGAAATCGAGCCTCTCCCAAGATTTTTTACATCCCTAATGTTAACTTGCTTATCTATCCCGACATCTTTCACGTCAAATCCGAAAACGTGCCTCCTAACTTTGCGCGCGACGATTTATTCCCTTTTGAGGGTATGAATAACGGCATGGGCAAATGGTGGGTGGCCAACCGAGGCTAATAAATATTCGAGAGGTAAAACCATAAAAATGAGGATGTGCCAGCTCATACTTGTAGGACTGATAAAGCTTTGGTGGGAATACATCTCGCTAGAAATGAGAGATTTATTTGGCGGAGAGTCTAGAATTGGCACGAGATCAATTAATGATAGCAGACACCGGAGTCAGTTCGAACGTGCATTCAGCTAATTAGTTAAATGCTAAGAATATTTCTCAAGGAAAATTCCAGTCTGCATTTTTATTTCTTGGCTGGATGGTGGAATGGTATACTTACCTCATTCGAGACAAGAATAAGACGTTTTTGCTTATTGCACTCTACAAGCCCTTAACTATTTAACACATGCGACTTTTCTTTGACCCGGGCAACACCTTGTACAGTGTTCCTAACCCCTTTTGTGACTTGAAAGATCATTGAAATATTGCCCGTGCTGCATAGCCATCAACTCAGTGTTTACCCGTGGAATCCAGCCACCTTTTCCACGGAACCTTCTACCCAAGAGAAATTGAAATGGTAGCAATGGAAACTGCGAGCGCGGGAAAAAGTTGCAATAAACCTGCAGCCCCAGCCAGGCGAGGCCCGTACACCGGGACCACATGAGGTGCGCATAATCATCTATATCTCCCTTCTTTGTAACAGTCGAAGTCGACTTGATCCAATCCACCGTCTCCATATCGGGTGCTGGGTACGCTCAGCAAACTCATCGGATGGCTTCTCTTCTATGGTTAAGGGTTGGTGACGAGTAGAGCTCCGACTCTAACATCTGATCTGATCGTGGTTAACTTCATAATAGTAGTGGTAATGGATTGTGCAGAGAGATGAAGACAATACAGACCGCAAAAGCGACTGGGAATCCTCATGGAAGTGAGGACGTTGTTACTCAATTTCGGCTCTGCAGACTCTGTAGTGAGAGCTGGAAGCTCGCAGGGGACACCACTGACAGGTGTTGGGAAGAGTCCCCCAGCACTGCAAGGAATTAATACATTTCTATTAAAATCCTTCCTCAAAAGGTGAAGTTATGTTACCCCAACTCGTTATACAGAAATCTAATACAAAAATTGCACCCCCGTACCAGGAACAGAATGATTCCCCCATAAATCAACCCATTTAGCGTCGCTCGCTTATTAGGGCTAACATAGGACATGCAAGGATTAAGGTTTACACAATTATTATTTCCCTTGCACTTTTACAATTTCTATTGAAATCCAACGCAGGAAATACGTTACATTAAATATAGCTGTTGCCACTGCCGGTGATCCAGCTTCCCGACATGAACTCTCTCACTTCTCTGTTACTGGTTGCGCCTATCTCCTAGTGAATTTCGCACGGACACTAATCATAATTATGTCATTAGCCTTGCTATCTGGAGAGATGTTCAACTTAGCCACATAAATAGATAGTTGCTCAGCCATCAAACACCACAACAGCATCTGTACATCAAAAATTGCATTGCCAACAATAGGTTTAGCTCAAAAAAAAACATCATTATTGCTAGAAAGCTGCGCAGCTTTCCACGCTGCCCGTATCATCAATTTGACATTGTGATCAATATTTTTAAATATTCATTACCCTCCTACCATATTTTCGCTTTCCGTGCTCCAATATGGCGAGTGTGGGTAAATCTAGCGGTTTCAACACGTCGCAAAATGCGACAATGGCATCATCAAACAACAGCAGCGGAGCGCAGACAGCTCCAAAGGATAGAAACCTTGAAATCCTGGGGAAACTATTGTAACAGGTTAGACTCATCGTGATGGGAGAGATGGATGAGGAGGACTTACCCTCAATGGAGGATGTGAACGAGGCCATGGAGGCCTTCAACGCACACAAAGGGGCCTGGACGGAAACGACCCAGAAAAAGTCTCCTATCGAGGAGAGGATGATGGCTTTAGAGGAAGTCGTAAAGAAAAGCCTCGCGGACCCCGCTCGAAAAGCTACTCCAGCAGTGGTTTTGGGCGCGCCGACACCAAGAAGTTACGCGTCGGTCGTAGCTACGCAAATGGAGAAACGGCTGTCAGAATAAGAATCGACGGCGCCCAAAAGTTGCAGCCACAAGAGCTGGTAACTAAGGCACAACAACACATTCAAGGCGCATACACGGTTCGCCGAATGCGAAGCAAAGACACTGAGGTGTTCCTCCAGTCGGCGTCTCTCAAGGAGCCGTCTTATCAGTATTCTGTAGGGAACGAGTTTGGTACAATTAGGTTACAGGTGTGGAGTATGGTGGTGATTCCTAAGAGAAGGAGGTATAAATTCAGCGTTAGGTATAGGGTTCACGGAAGAAGTCAAGGTAAAATAAGTAGTAGGTGAGAAGGGTACAATAACGGCGGTCTTCTTTAGAGAAGAGATAAGCACGTGAACAATACGTATGAGTATAAACAGAAGACGTTGTGTGAAGAAGCATTATTCTTCACGCAACGTCTTCTTCAATTACCTTCACAATACATTTGTTTACCTATCTCTTCTTCGGGAAAACCATTTATCTCTTTCCAGCTCTTCATCAGTAAGACCCACGTGTAGCCTCTATCGCTACTATCTACCTATTTGTCTCTTCCTAGAGAAGATCAGTCATCCCTTCGACCCACTCATCCCCTTCATCTACCACCTAGATCTTCGTTAGACCACATAGGCACCCTGTGGAACACTGTCCTAACCTCGCCTTGAGAGTGTCCTAATGGGAGTAATTAACAACTCTCCACGACAGATTTACAGACCCCTTTACTTTCCCACTCGCATCACCAAGTGATATAATCTGTGCCTAACAGCCACAAGCATTTACAAACTAATCCGCTCAACATACTTGTCTGTTCATAGGTGAATGGCGTCCGGATAAATGGCTTGACTTGGATATGTACTTCTTTAAGGATTAGTCAATGTATCACGTGACCTGGCTCGGGCGCCAAGCTCCAATTTGTAATTTAGATATTAGTGCTGGATGAAAGAAAAGAGGGGAAAGAAGATAGATTGATACCACTTGTTTACAGCATTTTTGAGGCATTGAACCAAGTGAACCCCGTTGTACCAACACTGATCAGTGGTTGATCAAATACAATTTATTTTTGTCCTGTATCGACCACAGACAGCAAGGTGACGAAGAGACAGATCCTCTGGAATTCAACGATACCTTTGCGACTCTCTAGTCGCCAGAGTTGACTGAAAACTTTTGAATACTGTGCTAATCTAAAGGTTCGTTAGTACCGACTTTCCAGCTACAAGTACATCTTGAATTCATTCACGAAATCTTCTTAGCTAGACGTACCATCGACCCCGCGCTCCATCACGCAATTCACAGTTTCAGTCAGGGAATGTGAAAGAAAACCACAACAACAATGAGTGTCAGAATTATAAATGAAGACACCCCAGATTTCCCGATCGAAAACT